GGGGCGCCCAGCCATGGCTGCATCAGTGGCTGCAGGGCCGGTGAGTGAGTGGGGCTGCTCCAGGCCTCGGCTTGGTAGCAGGCTGGTGCTCTGGCCCCTGGTGCTGTTTCCTCCCGTCTCAGTGGGCACGTCAGAGGCACAAAGTGTTCAGAGAGGGCTGGCCACCTGCTCGGGGGAAGTGGGGAGAAAGACGGGCCTGTGTCCCCAAAATCGCCCTGCCACAGCAGGCTTCCAGGACGCCTGCTGTTAGTGAAACTTGACTCCCGCTGAGTTAGCATTTCCTCAGAGACCGCCCTGAAGTGGGGAGACTGGACGGGTGCCCCCAGTCTGCTCCTAGAAGCAACGATGTACGTACCTACCCATGACTCTTCGGCCAGTGTGAACACTCGCACACACGTCATGGTGGCGGAGCTGCCGAAACAAAGAGGTCACCTGCGATATCCTGTCCTTGAGCACTGCCCCAGCCTGCGCCAACGCCAGTGTCAGCCTCGGCATTTTTTTTTTTGCCCGTCCTCCGAGCTTTGGTTAGCTGGCGAGTCCCCTCGTCCTTGTCATTGGGAGAGGACCGCACTCAGCCCTTGCAGTGGGGGAGGGGGCCATACACGACCAGCCACCCTTGTGCCTCTGGGGGCTCACTTGTTCCCACAGGGCCTCCTGTGTCTGGTCCCTCGGCTTTGCCTAACTTTCATAAGAAGCTGGTATTCCTCACAGGTTGCTCTGGGCCTCCTTCTAAGTGGCATTAAGCTGTGTGGGGTAGAATGGAAACTGAGGAGTGTAATTCCATCTTTATTTCTCAAATGCTTTATGTTTCTCATTACTTGCTCTGCATGCTTACTTGCCGGGGTCCAGCCTCGGCGGGGGTGGGTTGACTCATCGGAGGCGGCGCTGGAAAGGAAGACTAAGGCCTCGGTACCATTTTCATGCACGTCCTGAGTCAGACACCCCCCAGAGATCGCTCTCTGAGGAGTGACCACTACCAGGAATCATCGTGCCTTTTTATTGAAAATGTGATACATGCAAGTAAATGGGTGAGGGGCTACGTGTTCAGTTCAACAGGGATCATAGGTTCCATTCAGGGTTGGATTAAGGGTGGGTCTATTGCAGTTCCGCAATTGTTCGTTTGATGTAGGCGTCTTCATGGAAAGCAGTTCCAGCAAGCAGAGATAATTATCAGCTGATGCGGCAGCAGCCATCTTGTGATTACTGAACACGATGCTGAGAAAAGAAAATCTCAAGTATAGATATTAGTTCTTATGGATCTCAAGAATGATACTTATATAGTTTTATAGGGATCTAAAACTTAATTTAAGGAATCTTAATATATTTATCTATTTCACTTGGTGAGGGCAGGGGTGTCCTGGGCCAGTTTCGGCCTAATCCTATTTTATGTAAAGAAAAGATTATTTTTAAGCTTATGTTAAATGTATCTTGAAGGGCCTTCCAAAGGTCAAGATTATTTCTGCCTAGATTAGAACTTTGGCACACCCTCTATTGTGACCACAGGGATGAAGCATTGTAATTAACAGTAGGTGATCAGGGCAAAGGGGAGTGGTCGGGGGAGTTTTGGGAAATCTTATCACATACTCAAGAGAGCTATGTAATTCTTTTATAGTAGTATATCAGGGTGTCAGAGGGGGGTCACTTCCCAACAAGGCTACCGCAGTCTGGAGCATACAACAAGCGGCCTTGCCAGCATGCTGAGTCAACCCAAGCTTTGCTCATAGGTCAGGGGAGAGGGGTGTACAACAGTGGCCTTGAACCGACCAAAGCTATGCTCAAAGGTCAAAGGCTCAAAACAGATCCTGGGGCCCCACCGGGTTGGATTCCACTTTCTCTCTTCCATGGTTGGATCACCGAGTCACTAAGGCTGCCGACCAGATGGCTCCAGAGGCACTAACGGACTGCCTGGCAATTTTGGAGGCCGGAAGCCTAAACCCCAGGGGCGGGAAGTGCTGGTCCTGGAGGGGGCTTGTTGACATCTGCATTGCTCCATGTGTAGAGAAGCATTGCCTGCCTCTCTGCCTTCAGCTTCCCTGACCTTCTGTCTCAGCACACGTCTGTTTCTGTGGCCAGAGCTCCCCGTTTATCAGGACGGCAGGCCTGTTGGATTTATGGCCCCTGGCAACTTCATCCCGACCGGGTAACCTGCAGCTGCCCCATTCCCAGAGCTGTCACATCCTGAGACACTGGGGAGTAGGACCTGGACGTACACCTTGTCAGGGGACTCGCCGCCTTCCTCGTCTCTTCTCCTTGCGTTGTGCGAGGGTTCCTGGCCTAGCTCATGCCTTCTGTATCAGATATTTCCCTCCTCCGTGTTCTTCCCTCCTCCGTGTTCTTGCTCCCTCCTTCATGGAAGATCTGGTTTCCAGGCAGAGACCCCTGGACGTCCTATGCTATGCACGAGTGGGTGGGACAGGTGCACAGTTCCTGTGTGTGGTACACAGGTGCACAGAACACATGTATGTACAGAAGGTACAGAACCCAAGTGCAGTACACAGGTGCACAGAACCCGTGTGTATACATAGATGCACAGAACACATGTGCAGTACACAGGTGTACCAAACAGGTATACAGAACCCATGTATGTCCACAGGCATACCAAACACATGTATGTACACAGGTGTTCAGAACCCATGCCTGGTACACAGAACACATGTGTGTACACATGTACAGAACCCATGTGTGGTACATAGATGCACAGAACATATGTGTGATACATAGGTGCACAGAACCCATGTGTGTACACAGGTGTACAAAACCCATGCATGTACATGTGTTTGCAGAACTGTGTATGTACACAGGCACACAGGCACACAGAACCCGCATATGAACACATGCACAGAACCCATGTGCAGTACACAGGCACACAGAACCCATGTGCAGTACACAGACACACAGAACCCATGTGCAGTACACAGGCACACAGAACCCTTGTATGTACACAGGCACACAGAACCCGTGTGTGTACATATGCACAGAACCTGTGTGTGTACACATGCACAGAACCTGTGTATGTACGCAGGCACACAGAACCCGTGTATGTACACACACACAGAACCCATGTGCGGTACACATGCGCACGGTTCCCACGCACAGTCCCCATGCTGAAGAGCTTCCAGCATGAGTCTCGGCTTGGCAGACAGAGCAGCCTCGCTGTGTGCTTTGTCAGAAGCCCTCCTACCAATTCGGCTTCGTCTACTTTGCTGAAATAATACCTGTTGGGCCCTAGACGATGTGGCGCATCTGGGTACTGACAGTGTTTACATAAGCAGAAAAATTGGGGTCACTTTCACATCCCCTCTAACGTCATGTTTGCTAGTAATAAGCACGGATTTAACGGTTGCTACAAGACCTCTTTCTGTTCTAGTGGAGGCTAAATTAACCACTCTTCTATTTATTACCCGCTCATTAAAAGTGCGGTATCTGAAGCCATAATGTACGGTTTCGTTATCACTCACCCTCCCAGCCAGCACCGCTGTCCTTGCCAAGGACTTGGTGTGCGGACGCTCGAAAGGCACCCTCCCCAGCAAAACAGTGGTCGTTACTGGAATTTTAACTTTCGTTCTGTTCGCGGTTTCGATGCTTCAGAGCTGTTGATATTTACAGTAGCTCATGTTCGCCCAGATGTGCATGTTGTGTGTGTCATACGTGGGTCACATCAGATGCTCTGCAGGGACAGTGTTCGCTTCAGGAAGAAAGCAGCAGGGACAAAAATCAAGACGCTGTAATTCATTTCTTGGGTATTTTTACTCCAGATTCAGACACAAATCAAGAGAGAATCAGGGGCATATAAAGGTCCATCTCCATGACAAATGGAGACAGCCAAACTAATCTTCTTGGTGACCTTATCTAAATTAGTTAGAAAATAATACTTCAGATTTATGACTGGTTACAATTAAGCCCTTTGATATCTTCTAATTAAACCTGTAAAGATTTATTTCCGTGTTAGTCCTCTGGTAATCCTTTAAAAATGATAAAAATGTAAATGAATATTACTTTCAAAAGGAGCTGTTTCTATTTATCCTAAATTAGACTCATACTCTTCCTTTCAAATGACTACAGTTTAGATGCAGATTTACGCTGCTCCAACGCAAATTCCACGTCGATCCTGAATAATTTATTTTTTAAGTTTGTGCAAACGATATACATAATCTCTTGGACTTCGAGGAAAGCAAAGCCCGCTGTCCTTTAGCCTTCTTGGTGTGTCTCTCCCTTTAGAACCATGTCCTGGTTCACATAACCCGATATGCACATGTGACATGGAGACTGGGCAGTCGGCGTGACGCTCAGCGTCGAGCTCAGTTCACAGTGAGGGCAGCAAAGCTTCCTTGCCTGGATGGCTCTCCTCCGAAGCTGCTTTACCTGAGAAAGGAGTGTTCTTTATGATGACTCTTCAAATCATGATTGTATTTGCCCTGAAAACTTTTTTTTTTTTTTGGAAAGGTTTTTGCTGTAGGGTGCATGTGCTAACAAGAAAGAGAAAAGGCAAGAAATCACCCCCCAGGGGGGATGGCCACGCCACAATCCCTTCTCCTCTTAGGATTTTGGGCACACGCGCACGCACACACGGCATGAGGGTCTGGGACTTAAACCGCGGTCGGCTACATGGGAATCCAGCAACATAGCAATTATGCCAACTGCTGGTCCCACCCTGAAATCTTAAATCTACATCGTGTGATCCTTTAACCAGAGCCCAAATGGGCAACTCAGAGCAGCGTCGTCTCCGTCTATTTATCCAGTTTCTTTTCTCCACAGGCGAGTACAGCTACCTGGGGACCGCCCTGCGCCGCCTGTCCATAGAACCTATGCCCTCCCTCCTGGACGTCCGACAGCTCGTCACGCTGTACGGAATCCTGCCACTAGGAAAGGTCCCTGCTGTGCTGGGCGCCTCTCCCATGAGCAGGGACGCTGCTGCGGGCACGACCGGGGCTCCTGCTGGTCACCGAAGGGGCACTAAGCCTTCCTGTGGAGAATCCCGAGAGCGTACTTTTGTCTCGACTGTGCGCCCAGGAGCACGCAGGACGTTACTACCAGGGACAGCAGCTCTGCACCATTTCTCTGTGCCTGCTAGACAGGTCTGGCCCAGGGCTCACATGCAGTCAGCCGGAGAGAGCACAGCCAAAACAAGTCCTTGCGATTAAAATTAGTCAAATGGAGAAAGGGCTGGCGTTCCCGCGTCCTTTTACACACTGGCTGACACTAGTCCTGAGCAGAGGTGGCTTTCAGGGGCCCGTGAACGTGTCGTCCATGGACCTGCCAGTCGCCTTTCAGGCTCTGCCGAGGTCTGCTTTCTCCACTAGATGAGGTGCGGTGGCAGCCCTCAGACACACGCCCGGGGCTCCGCGGCAGGCGGGGACGAGCCGCAGGCGGGGACAAGCCGAAGGCGGTTCCATGACTCTGACGTCTGCTGCCCGCTCACGGTCCCTCTTTACAGCCTTCATCCCTGCCTGACCCAAGTCACCTGGGGCAGCGGCGCTCCTCCGGCCAGGCTGCGCTCCGACCCCGTTCTGAAACAGAAATTACTCGTCTTCGGCTTAACTTCCTTTCAAATGCCATGGGAGTAGTTGGAGCACTTACTACGCTGTCCCACTTCAGCATAAACAACAGCCTCTTGGCAAAAACACTTCATTCCTCTTTTAATGTCTGAAATAGTAAGTGGAATTTTGGGTCAACATAAACAATGTGTGTGTGTGTACATACATGTGCATATGTATGTGTAACATACATCATTTGTATTACATGCATAACATAGTGTATCTGGGGACAACATAATTTGGGGTCAGCAGAGTACACGTGGAATATGTCCAGGCCGTGTATACAAGACAAGTAGATCAAGCGTCCAGCGTCACCGCGGAACAGTGGAAGGCGGGAGCAGGACACCCCATGAGCTGGCCCACGCGTTGTGCACGCTACTGAAACACTGTGCCCTGCGGGCTGGGGCTGTGGGGAGGCCCAGCTAGATCCCCTTGCACCTGTGGTCCCAGCTACTCAGAGGCTAAGGCAGGAAAGTTGCAACACAGGGAGACCCTGTCTTCAAAAACTAGAAGTAAACATTTTTTAATTAAAAAAAAAAACCCACTGAGCGTTAACAGTCTTCCTAGGGAATGCCTGGCAAGAGGGAGAGGCGTGTCCCCCTCAGCCGTGGGTACAGGGGTGCACCTGTTTCCAGCTGGCTCTGAGCGTCACAGAGGATGCTCGGGAAGGCTTCCTCTGTCAGGCTCTCCCACTGGGGGCCACCGTCCCTCATGGCTGTGAGTCGTCCAGGCTGCAGAGTGAGCCGGGCGTTGTTCTCACAACCGGGGTTTGGCGTGTGCTGGGCATGACACGCAGCAGACGAAGGAGGAACATGCACCGGAGTTTAATTCAAATTTCATATGTTAAAATATGTTACAAAAAGGAACGTGAACCCAATTGTTCAGGTCACCTTGGTGGTGGCCACTCAACCAAGGACATTGAGAACATCCACACCTGGCAGGAAGCGTGGCCAGTGCCGGGCCCCTGAGTAGATGAGAGAACGCCCAGGAAGGACGCAGTCCACACTCACCCACCCCCGAGACTCAGAGCAAAAAGGGAGGGGACACCCCGAGCGGGAGTCACATGCTTGGGGGGTGTCCCACTTTTACGGATCAGTGAGCATTTCCAAGACGCAGGGTTAGAAAGAGGCCAGACTGAGTTAGGACGCAGACATGGCCTCTCTCCTTGTCATTCCTGCGTCCCTGGAAGGTGCAGGGGCTTATCTCAGAGGCTGGGCAGTCTGCGACTCCTGGGAGGTCCATGGGAGGGGCAGAAGCTGAGGACGCCAGAGCGGCGCCCTCTCCTTCCGCCTTCCCTCCCTGAGCTTGGCTGGACGCCCCTCCACCTCTCTGAGCGACTTGGTGTCCACCCCTTCCTCTATAAGGTCACTTCCCTGTGCATCTGCCCTCAGCTCCCTGGCCTCCCACACTGCCCTCCCACAGCCCCTCTCCGGGGTCCGTCCTTGGCTCCGCTCTCCTCCCCCCTCCCACCTCTCTGACCTTTGCCCCTGGCTGCAGCAAGCCCTTTAGCACACCTGCAACCCCAGCCGTCTTTCACAGACCCCAGCAGCCGGCCAGGCCTTCCTCCCCGCCTTCTTGCTGCCCCGCCGACCCCATCAGATGGTAACAACCCACGGTCCCTCTCCCCCACTTCTCCCTCCCTGTGTACATGCACATGCGTCAGCGTGTTTCTCACACCACGGGGCGCTTGGAGAACCTTCGCGTCGGCCATGTGGGATCCAGCTGTCTTAACCGCCGCGCCACCACTGGCTGTTACCATTTAAAATGCACTTCCTCAAAACTATTTTCCGGAACCAGCAGTTAGCGTAATGGCTCTGTCGCTGGACTCCCACGTAGTCAACTGCAGTTCGCATCCCGGACTCGGCGGCTTAAAACTCACACTGGGCATGTGTGTGTGCGTGCCCAAGATCCCAAGAGGAGAAAGGAGAAGGGATTGTGACGTGGCCATCCCCACTGGGGGGTGATTTCTCACTTTTTGTCTCTGTCTCTCTCTGTCTGGCTGGCGAGCGCACGCGCCCTATAGCGAAAACCTCTCCAAAAAAAAATGAAAAAACACAGAAAAAAAAAAAAAAAAAAAAAAACTATTTTCCAAGTTTATATAAACAGTGGTGGGTAACTTTAAAACATGTTTCTAGGGACTAGCAGTTGGCATAATGCCTATGTCGCTGGACTCCCATGTAGTCGACCGCGGTTCGAGTCCTAGACCTGATGGCTTAAACTCACTCTGGGCACATGTGCATGTGTGCCTAAGATCCTGAGAGGAGAATAGAGAAGGGATTGTGGTGTGGCCATCCCCCCCGGGGGGGGGTGATTTCTCGCTTTCTGTCTCTCTCTCTCTCTCTGTGCCTTTCTGGAGAGTGCGCACATCCTATGACAAAAACCTCTCAAAAAAAAAAAAAGTTTCTAGTAATCACACGAATGTCCTGTGTCTTTTCAAACCACACAGAGAAACAGGAAAGCAGAGCCAAATGGTATGAACATTACGCAGCTGACCCAGAGGGCCCCGAAGTGGGTCAACTGTGAGCACTCCAGGATCGAAGCCCCTTCCCTTTCATCACCTAGTGCCCAGGACCGGTGCCCGACCCCACCTTAGTGCCTTGTTGTAGGGTTCCCTACAGTAAAGAGTACCTAGCTCAGGTCTCACCACAGACTCCAAGGAAGTTGGCAGGGTGGTTCAAGGAGCACAGGTGTGAAACTGAATGGCTGTAGTCATTCAAGTCACTTTCTTTTTCCTTTTTTTTTTAGGTTTTTGTCATAGGGTACGCACAGTCACTGGAGAGACAGAGAAAGGGAAAGCGAGAACTCACCCCCCCCAGGGGAAGGCCATGCCGCAATCCCTTCTCCTCCATTCTCTTCCCAGGATTTGGAGCATGCACACACACCCACCTTGGGATGATTTTCAAGCCGCCAGGTCCAGGACTCAAACCACGGTCAGCCATGTGGGAGTCCAGTGCCTTAACCACCTCGCCAACTGCTGACTCCTCAAGTCACTTTTTTTCAGTTTATTTTATTCTTGACAGTGCATAAACATACACAGAATAGAGAGAGAGAGAGACCCCCGGCAGGGCCTTGTCGAGCTGCCATCCACTTTCCCGAGCTCTCACCTTGAGACCTCACGCATGCTTACGTGTTTCCCAGGCTCTCCCGGAGACTGAGACTTGCAGGGGCTGCGTGGCTTCCAGCACTGCAGTTCTGCTCGCTACTGCCTGCTGCGCCAGGCTCGGCCGTAACTCAAGTCCCTTTGTTATCAAGTGTCAGCTAGCCCTGGGCTGCTGACGGGCTAGGGACCAGGACGGGGGAAGTCAGGCTACTGCCGTCTGGATCTCGGTCTGCCCCCGCAGCTCAGCACTGACTGCTAGGGAAGAGGATTCCAAGGAACTGGACACTTCGGGCCAGCTTCACTCTGTGTCTCCGTGTTCCTCTTCCCAAGCTTTAGAAGACTTATCGTTTCTGCCAACAAGCCAAGAAACCCCTTCCCAAACAAAAGGAATTGTAGGACTGCCCTGTAAGCTCCTGAGTCCAGGGAAACAAATGGTGCGAAGCCAGGGAGAAGGGTATTGAGGACAACAGAGACCCTGTCCCCACAGCAAGCCCTGACAAGTGTCCTGGAGCCAGTCGGGGTGGGAGGCATGGCTCTGGGTTGAAATGCCGCCTTCACATCCATCACCCTGCGGGAACTGGGATCACACAGCCTCCAGGGAGCCCCATGGATTTTCTCGGCAGGCTCTGACGGCCCTTGCCGCTGTCTGTTTACAGGTTCTGCAGCAGTGCACGAGAAGGCCCCATTAGTGAAGTCACTGCTGTTGGCCGGGCCACCCGGGGTGGGAAAGAAGATGCTGGTCCATGCCATCTGCACAGAGACGGGAGCCAACCTCTTCAACCTGTCCGCTGCTAACATCGCCGGGAAATACCCGGGCAAAAATGGCCTCCAGATGATGCTGCACGTGGTCATCAAGGTACTGCCGACACCCCCTCGCTCTTTCCAGTCGCAGCTTCAAACCCTGCAGGTGCAGTCCTGGGGACATGAGCCCGCCTCTCCTAAACGGCCCCATTGCTTCCTCCTGTAACTTGCGTCAGTATTGCACCTGACGGGGCATTCGGCAAAGAGGAGCAGCTTCTGTCTTTGCGTAAGCACCCTACTGCGCCACCCAGGCCAACCGCCTTCTGCTACAGGCATCCCTGCAACGCTTGTGGGCCTCTCTGAAAATTAAACCCACCATTTCTTTCTCTGGCCCACCTCACCTTAGCAGCCAGCCTCAGATTTGCATGTTTGGTGTTCCCGCTCACACGGCATGAATTGGTAAGCTCTGGAACCTTCTGTGCATCCGCTCCTCAGACGGCCGCTGCAGAGGCCTGCGGAAGCTCAGCCCCGCAGTAATGCAGACGCGCAGGGATAGCATGGGGGCAGAGGCAGGGGTCCTAAACTATGGACACTTTTAAAAAGGTTTAAACACGGTCCAAAAAGTACACAAAATGGTGGTTGGGGGCCAGACAATGATACGGTGATACAGCATGGCGCTGTGGGTGGCAGACCCATGTGGGGAGGTTCTGGGTTCTTGTCTGGAAGCCACTGATCAACACTGATGGTCGCTAAAGTCTTAACCTCCTTGGGTCTCCCTCCGTTGTCACCAAAATGAAAGAGTTTTAAGAAGCCTAATTAGATACAGAATAGTTTATATTTAGCATGAAGACTTTACAGGATTTGGGTGTTTTTTTGTTTTTTATTTTTATTAAGGACCTCACGATTGCCGATATCCTGCTCGATTTACCTTTAGCTGCTAGGATGCCGGCTTTCACGCTACCAAAACCCACCTGGTTACACATGGTGTCTGTACCTGAGGCTAGACATCAATGCTACACGACTTTCTAAGGGCACGCAGCTTAGAAGATGGTTTAAAATGAAATCGTGTAGGTGCCAGCAGGTGGTGTGGTTGGGGCCAGCAGGTGGTGTGGTGGTTAAGGCACTGGACTCCCACACAGTCAACCAGTGAAGTCCCAGACCTGGTGGCTTGAAAATCATGGGGACCAGCAGTTAGTGTAATGGCTATGTCGCTGGACTCCCACGTAGTCGACTGTGGTTCACGTCCCGGAACGGGTGGCTTAAAACTCACACTGTGCGCGAATGCGTGTGTGCCCAAGATCCCGACAGGAGAATGGAGGAGAAGGGATTGTTGCGTGGCCATCCCCCCTAGGGGGTGATTTCTTGCTTTCTGTCTCTCTGTCTCTCTCTATCTGTCTGGTGAGTGCACGCGCCCTATAGTGAAAACCTCTCCAAAAAAAAGAAAGAAAATCATGCCAGGCATGGACATGTGACCCAGATCCCAGGAGGAGAATGGCAGAGAACGGATTGCAGCATGGCCATCCCCCCTGGGTAGGGAGGGCAGGGGGTTGATTTCTCACTTTCTCTCTCTCTCTCTCTCTCCCTCTCTCCCCCTCCTCTGGCAAGCACATGCACCCTATGACAAAAACCTAAAAAAAAATTAAAAATAATAATAAAGCACAGTACATGGGTAGTAATGATGCTGATGAACAAAAATGGGAGGCGACAGGGACAGGTCTCTGCCACGTGGCCTCCCCCAACACAGCGACTCATGGTGGTTCCTGTTCCCTTTCCTCCCTTGCTTGTCCTGAAGGAACGAACCCATCAAGTAGGCAATTGTGCAACCCTTGTTTTCTTTCTTGCTTCTTTTCTAAAAAAAAAAAAAAAAAAAAAAAGTTTCTTTGTTCCATGAGAGAGAGAGAGATAGCAGCCCTAGCAGGGTCTCGACACTGTGTCCAGCTCAGCCTCAGGCAGCCGCGTCCTGGCATACTCCAGGAGGTCTCTGGATATGAACCTAGGACCTTTCCCGGTGAGTCTGCTACCCAGAATGTCACATTCTACACTGCACCGTCACCTGGCTGCCAACCACCACTTCTGTGTGCTTTTGGGTCCCTGTTTGACACCCTTTTGAAAGGCCAGTTTGAAGCACTTTCCATTGACTTGTGATTCATAAGAATTCCCGATATTCTCAGGATCCAAGTCTTTGACGGTGGTAGGTACTACAAATATCTCCTCTCGTTCTGTGACTTACCTTTGCACTTTCTTACTGAGTTTTGCTGGTTTGGTTGCTCATTCAGTGATGGAAGGAGGCCATTAAAACCTCCCCTGAGTTTCTGTACTTCTTTCTTTAGTCCGGCCAGCTGTTGACCGTTCGTGTTGAAGGGCCGATACAAGAGCCATCGTGTTTAGGTTGTTATGGCGTCCTGGTGGTGACTTTGTCATTACACAATAGCCCTTTTGTCTCTAGAAATACTCTTTTTGAAATCTGTCCTATTAATGGTATATCGATATAGCCACATATCTTTCTTTTGCTTACTTTATATATATATATATCTATATACACATATAGATATAGATATATATATATATTCTTAAACTCCTTTACTCCCAGGGTATCTATGTCTCCACCAAGAGCCTTTCCTGTGGAAAGCACACAGTTGAGTTTTACTCCTTATTCATTCTGATGCTCTATGCCACTTAATAAGATCGTTTGCCTCGTTTAAAGATAATCACTCATATAGCTGAGGTAAGTCCACCATTTTGCTATTCATCTATACCTCATTTTGGTTTTTAGTGATTTCTCTATGAACGATGATAGTCATCCTTCACTTACCAAGCCTACCTAGAGTTAATGTTGCTCCATTTTATATAAAATGCCAAAACCTTGCAACAATGTGTTTATTATAATCTCCTGTCCTTTATGTTTTTATTAGCATACATTTTCCATCTAGAAATAACATTAGAATGTTATTTTTTGCATTAAATGGCCATTTGTCCTTTTTTAAAAATCAAGAGAAAAAGAAATGCAGCCTTTTATATCTATCTTCATATCAACCATTTTCAGTATCCTTTCTCTTCTATCATCTGTGTGTCTTTTTTTTTACATCTGTGTCATTTCCCTTTCAACTCAAGAACTTCTGTTAGGATCTCTTTTAGTGCAGGTCTGCTGTCAATGAATTTTCTTAGCTTTAGTTTTATTTATCTTAAAAAGTCTTTACATTAACTTCAATTTTGAAAGCTATTTTTGCTGGATATAAAATTCTATGTTAACATCTCTTTCTTTCAGCCCTTAGAAGTATTCAGGGGCCCACAAGTGGCATGGGGGATAAGGTGCTAGACTCCCACATGGCTGACTGCGGTTTGATTCCTGGACTTGGTGGCTTGCTTTCTCACTTTCCCTTTCTCTCTCTCTCTCTCTCTTTGTCTCTCTCTGGTCAAATTAAAATATAATAATAAAGTAAATTAAATTAAAATGCTTTCAAAAATATTATTCCATATTCTTCTGACGTCCATTGCTTCTGACGAAAAGTTATCAGAAATTTGAAAATTTTTTTCTTGTGTGTAATGTGTCATCATTCTCTGAATGGTTATAAGATTTTCTCTTTATTTTGGCTTTCATCAATTTGCCTATAATGTGCCTAGGTATTCTTGGTTTGTTGGGTTTTTTTTTTGGACACTATTTTCTCAAATTACTCTTACCTCATCCTCTCCTTCATCTTCTTCTGAGGCTTCAATTACATACATATTTGAGAGCTCGATATTGTTTCAAGAGTCCTCTGGAATTCTGTTCTAATTTCCACACTGGGTAAATTCTTTTTTTTTTGAGAGATTTTTGCTATAGGGCGCGTGCACTCGCCAGACAGACAGAGAGAGACAGAGAGACAGAAAGCGAGAAATCACCCCCCAGGGGGGATGGCCACGCCGCAATCCCTTCTCCTCCATTCTCCTCTCGGGATCTTGGGCACGCATGCACACGCGCCTGGCGTGAGTTTTAAGCCACCAGGTCAGGGACGTGAACCACGGTCAACTACGTAGAAGTCCAGCGACATAGCCATTACACTAACTGCTGGTCCCCACATTGGGTAAATTCTATTGGTCTAATTCAGGTTTCCCTACTCTTTCTTGTACCATCTTTAGTCTATTAAGCCCATCTTAAGGATTTTTTTTTTCTGATCATTTGCTTTTCAGTTCTCGAATTTACATTTGCTTGTTAATGCTGGTTTTATTGCCCTCCTGCACTTCTCTATCTGGTCGTTCGCTGTAACCACCTGTTTCTTTAAGTCCTCGACCCTGACCCTTGTAGTGATGTAGAGTCCTTTCTGACATTTCCAGTACTGGCTCATCACAGGGTCCGTTTCCATTTCACTGCTTTTCCTGACAAAGTATCACCTGTTTCTGTTTCTTTGTGTGATTAGTAACTTTACCGTATATTAGACATTGCAGGTCATACACCGTAAAGACTGAAGAAAACTGGGCTTCATTCTAGTAGGCAGTTAAACTACTGGCTGATTAATTTGAACTTACTGAAGCTTTGTTTTCCATTTCATTAGTGTCGGTCTATTTTGTATCTTTTAGTCCAAGGTAAATCCCTTAGTCCTGGGACATGGTCTTTACTTCCGGGTTTCAGTCGAAAGTTTGTTCACCAAGCTCCTTTACCTTGATGGTAACTGAGGAACGCACTCAGTTATTTTAGTTTTGGAGTCACTGCTGTTCACTGAGCTCTCGGAGTCTTCCTCCATGCACGCAAACTTCTGAGGGCAGCCAATGGGAAGTGTGCTGGAACTCGAAGCCAGAGAGCCCGACCTGTGGCATCCGTGTGCTTGACCACTAAGTTCTCAGCACTAAGTTATTAGAGAGAAAGTGTAAGGAGCCCATCCACTTGCCCAAAAGAACAATTGAATTTGCTCATTCTGTACATCGAATCGTGTTGCTATTTGACCTCGTCGAGTAACAGAAGCACATGAGTATAAGAATATTAGCCTTTTGGAATCATCAGTGTATCCCAGACACTGCTGAGCACATCACCCTACGCTAATCCACTCAGTCCTCACGACGTTATGACGTCGGCTCTATCCTATCCCCACCTTACCGAGAAGACTGGGGTGCAAAGCACTTCAGCACGTTTCTCTTTGCGAT